TCATAAGGGGAGGAAAATTGGTTATATATGGCGTGTGAGGTGTAAATTAAAAACGCACATTCAAGTCTGCGCACTCGTAGGTCATGTCATTCATTAGATTTAATGGCAATGATGGGCTTCGCCATAAGTACACCATTAATATCATCGTCATTGAACTTGTGGCAGGTTCAGTTTGCAACTGCATTCTTCCAGAAGCACTCAGAATTTCTGCTGTGAAGCATGATCCTAATTTTCAGAGTCGTGACAGTGAAAAAAGAAGGCTGCGAAGTGCCGTCAACTGCCTGTCCTCAATCTCAATGCGGCAAAAGCACTTGTCAACGTCTTCACTGTTTCTACAGTCACCCCTGAGAGGGTGCTTATCGTCATGGGAATTGAGGAAGTCCATTAAAGAAGGATAACAAGCTAATCTGAGAAGGTAAGAAATGCGAATGTTTGATCAGGACCTGTCTTCCTACTTCTGACTCAGTCTTGAACATTGGAAATCTTTTATAAGTAGCTTTTGCATTTCCCCTTGAAAACAACGTCGCTTGAAGTTTTTATACTTTTTAACTGTTATGGCTCCATCTGCTGTACATCCAATTGAGAATTATCGGTTCGGTCCTTTCGGAGGTGAAGAAACTAGATTTATAAAGCTTCACCTCTGTCAGCTGTATTTCTTGTTGTAATATGCCGCGTCTAGTTTAAATTTATTTCCTTGTTATAAATTTTACTAACTTCTTTTTTGATATAAGATCTAATTAACCAAATTACTTTGTTTAAAAAATCTGTTACTATTAGTTAAAGGTAGTAAAATGTGGAAGAGATGTCCTTTCAACTAACTAAACTAGATGAAATAATAAGCATGTATGAAAAAATAGATAATACGCTTAATTGGGAAAAAAATTATAAAAATTAAAATCTAAAAAAGACTGAACAGATTAAATGCCCCCCCCCCAAGACTTTGGGTGTTTTTGTTTGGGCTTACAGGTATTTTTTTATAAGAGATATATTAAAAATGTGTCGACATTTAATGTATTTTTTTATATTTAATTTCGATTAATAACGTGTTCTTTTTTCTTTTTTTTTCTCATTGATCATATTTTTTCTCTTTTTTCACTTCTCTCCCATCCACATTTTTTATAGGTAAAGGTATTTTTTAAAAATAAATTATATTTTATATATTTACTTTTAAACTAATTTAACATTATTCCAATAATCATCTCTTATAAAAAAAATGGGAAAGAGTAGCAATTACCACATGTATTCTATAAATATAAAATTTTGTTGAGGTTCGGAAAATTCTCATTGAGATTTTCATACCGTGCGTTCAATCCAACAATCATAATTCAGGAATTCTTGGAATTACCCTGTCCGGAAATTGAAAGTTCCGATGTCAAGTTCTGGCGTCCCTCAAGATCCGGAACCTGTTGAAGTTAGGTGTAGATACCTCTCGCCTTGGACTAATTTATAAATAGTTTATTAATTGTGATCGACAAGATATGATAACAGCTATGCCAAACAAGTCCTTAGAAGACTGATAGGTTCATCATAGGTAACCACTTTTCAGTGGGGCGAAAGGGAATTTGGCAACAAAGATGATGAATTTTGAAGGGCAGAGGCCTATCGACACTTGCGAATAAGTAGAAGGTCATTGAGTGGTAAGTAAATTCAGTGAGGGGTAAGGGAGAAACAATGTTAATCACTTAATCCAAATTCAGAACCTTAATGCTTCGGCCGGGAGGGAAAAAAGTACATGTCGGGTTATATGGGTCCTCCACAAAATGTTGAAAGCTGCTAGCTAGTCAGCACCTGTCCAAGATTAATTTCTTTAGCACGTTACAACTTACAACCTAACCTTGTTTTCCGCAAGCATTACATCAAATAAACAGAATCAGCAATGGTATTCTGAACCAGCTCACTGCAGAGGATTTCATGATCGCCCGTAAAACTTTTATAAATAAATAAAAGGCCTCTGCTTTGAAAATTGCAACAAAGCCCAGAGTAAGTACCTATAATCAGACAAATATTATATGAATGCTTGTGCTGCACAGGCTTTTCTATATTTTCTTTAATTTCTTCATTTTTTTTTCCTGTAGAGGTAGAACCATACAAGGAATATACAGACCCCCAATCCGTATTAGCAATTGCATTATAAACCTGCAGGAGAACGAAAGAGAAGATTCAGCAGTATGCTTCATGGCCTTTCTAAAACAGACGACATCATTTTATCACAATGAAAAAGCTGACAACCACTCACATGACTCTTAAATTGGGTGCTTCGACTATAACCCATATATTAAAGGTTACTTAAAACATAAAAAAAAAAAGCAATTAAGACACTTCGGTGCTCACACTATTTACAAGAAAATTACGCGAGTGCCATTTTGAAGTTTAGGTGAATGTATTAAGAGGTATTGACACCCCGCGCAGAAGCTGTCCATTCGAGAACAACTACCAAATTTGAAACTAAGACAGAATATATGTTATTTCAGACCGGGGCCATCAAACAATCAATCGTCTTTCTGATGCAAAACACTAGGCAAGCTATTACCATTCAGAGAAGAATGATATATCCGCTTTTCTGCTAGCCCAATATCTGAAAGTATCAAGTTACCCTGCAAGCAGAAAATTTAATAAAGTAGATCTAGTAAGTACCAACAATTAGCTACGCAATAACACTGGAGACAAGACGTAAATATTCCCTTTTGAGTTAGAATGCACAAGTAGCTCCACGGAAAATAATGGGAATAAAATTTTACATAATATTGCAAAGTGTGAGCAGTAAGATTTTCATATCACAAACCAGCACTTGACACTCAAGAAAAAATTGTGAAGAGTATCCCCACACACCTTTTGCATTAGCTAAAGATCATGTGAAAAATAAAAGGAATGACTAACAAGATAAACCGAATCACCATATAATCTCTAAATAATTTTAGAACAAAAGCATATCCATGCAAAATATATATCAGTGACAGAATAAAGGCGATACTTGATTCAATTTCCATATATCCTTAATTTTTTCCCTCCTCATCTTCTATCAGTCTAGTCCCACTCCTTGTAGACTTCTATTCCGGATATACCACATCCAAAAGTCAAATCCAACCAACGTAGTGTCTAAACTGGTTAGGAATCCTTATTATGCAATCAGTGAGATACAACCCAAAGAAATAAATGTTATGCTGGAATTTATACAAGATATAGTATGATTAGCTTTCAAAATTTTTCATATCATATATCAGTCAACAAGAGTTGCATACCTCACCAGCCATCAACCGTCTAACATTATTAGCATATAGTTTGGGGTCATCCTTCTCTTGCTGTGAGGGGTAGTAAACAGGTAACCTTGTCACTTCCATATAATTCACAAACTGACAGAGAAGTAAAATTACATGGCGCACCTGCACTAAGAATATAAGTTAAAGTTTCTGCAGAAAAAGAAAGACCTCGATCTAATTATCAAGGAGATTCGAGTAAAGTTGCTAGGTTTGATGCAGGAAAGTTGCTCTGTAATCCAACAGGGCAAATGAACTATGACTTTTCTAAGCATGTACAAAGCAACTAGCCAACCATTGACTCCCTCAAATATTTCAAACCCAAGATCAAACTTCAAATCAGAGCAGGGTACAGACTAACTTCTCAGATTCAGGCCACGATTCTAGGGTCAAAACCTGACATTCTTACCAAAAATGAGAACCCTAGATGCTGGATACTATGTTAACTCCTATTGATAGAAATCATAGAAAAGTGGGAAAATTTTGATCATTGAATACTTGATAACTACTCACCCCGGATATGGAATCCCAGGCAGGACTGAATCTCTGGTAAGGGTATCTTAAAATTACAGGAAGCACAGGTACACTTGCCAAAAAACTGCCAGTCTTGAATGGAAGGAGAAAGTCCCCATTTGTGGTTGTACCTTCTGCATAACATCCAACAAGTTTAGATCTATAAACTATACCAGATATAATCGATATCACCTTCGATGGTGAAAGGAAATAAGACAGCACATGCAGCAGAACAACCAAGAAGGCATAAGTTTCAAGAACGAAATTTCTGGTTTAGATTTTGATATAGGAGCTGATTTAAAATATTATAGGTTAATTATATCATAAATTCATAATCATATGGTCAACCAGTGTTATTTTAAGAAATGACAAGCTTTCTGTCTTCAAAATAATTTCGACGCCTGCTCTTGGGGTCTTCCAGTTCAAAATTAGTCACATCAAATCCATGTATGGGCTTTTATTTTCTAGACATTTCCCTGACTGGTCCCTGTTACTTGTACTGTAACTATGCTCATTAGTAGCTGGTTATTGAACTTGAGCCACAAGTGGTAGACTACTCGGTCTTCAAGCTACAACAGTCCAACTCAAGTTAGGTGATATAATCATATTGAGACTGGCATCCTGATTCAATAAATACGTCGGTCATAGGATAAACTGCCAGACATGAAACAACCAGTATCATCAACTACATATTACAGAAAAGGCAGAAAATCAATTATGAGAGGAGCAACATCTATCATTTTATACTAATGCCAAAGACAGGTGCATAAAAGTGTGCCGAAGTTTTTTATTTTTAATTTCCATTTGTACTTTGTAGGTTTAAAATCACATGTCGTTCTGTGGTGAGAGATTTGTTGAGTTAGTATTTTATTTTTATTCTATAAAATTGAAACAGGGAAATTTTGGAAAGAGACCAAAACTTCTAAAGGCATATATTTAGTACAGATATGAACTGTCACATAAATTTAATAGCCTTAAGGTCCATCAGTTTTATTGAAACAAAATCGGACATCACAAAGAAACCATTTCATAATATCATAAAAACTGATAAGCTATATATATATATAGACACACACACACATACCATTCTTCCATATTCAAAACTACCAAGAAAGATAACCTCACGGTGATAAGCAAAAGGTAAATGTAACTAACAAGAAGAAATAATTTAAAGGGTAATAACCTGGAAATAGCATCATAATTGGGGCAGACTTGTTACGGTGAGCTTCTTGAATTCTTTCTGTGACAACACCTGCCGGGGAAAAATTTACAGGCCCATTCATCCCAGGATAAAGATTGGAGAAAAATCAAATCCAGCAACAATGCACAACACACAAAGCTCCAAAACATAACATATCATATTGAACAACGTACTAGGACCCTAGTTTGATGGACTAATATGCGCGCATGTCCATGATGAAAACGCCAGCTTTAGCACCTCTAAATACTAGATACAACAAATCGCAAGGGCTTGAGAAAGTCTAGTTTCGTTGACATTATATGATGCTCAATAGAAAAATGCCCAAGTTAAAGCTTGAGAAAGGCACAGGCAACAACTAAAATTTGCTTCTACTTTGAGAATTGCATTTAATCCTATTAATACCAAGCCAATGTTTCCCGATAGATAATCTTTAAAGGAAGGAATTTGAGCATAGTTCCCTTTTCCATAATCTATACTCAAGCCAATTCCAAGTTCTTTTCTATTTACCTCATGAAGCCCAAACTACTTCCAGATTCAATGTATGTTTGAACTCAACAGTTATTGAGCTTATCC